TCAGTCAGCACAACAAAACAGGAGTACAACTCTCATAGAAACCCCAAGTGGAAGACTAGAGTGATTTTGCCTCTGCCAAACTCCCCACACCAGGTTCAATAGTAAGTGTCCTTAAGTTCCTGTATCTCAGACAAAATGCCGACTCGTATCTTTTTGGTTCAAACCTTTAGGTACCTTGGGCCGGTTCTGTAAGCAAATGCCCAGATTTACAATTCCATTTATAAGCCATCAGACACTGGGCAATGTTCCTCTGATGTTTATTACTTACAACGTTAACCTCTATCTTAAAGGTCTGAGAAGATAATATTGCTGCCTGGCTCCAACTGTGCAGCCCACGAGAGCTGCTCTCTGTAAAGTTGCTGGAGGGTCAGCCAGCCTTGAGTCATTCAAACAGTGAGTTGAGAACAACAGCTAGCATATAATACCTGATAAATTAATACCCATTCCATCTTTCTTTGATCAAAATATGCTTTGCCAAAACTGCTACCCTGAATGGAATTTTCTCAGCATCCATTTGGTGAAAGTTGAACATGGTGAGCTCTGGCAGTGTCCATGCACACTCACTCTCTACAACTATACAGATGACCATTCGAGAACTGCACTACAGGCTTATGAACACTTCCTATTAATAATGAAATGTGACCATGAGGTTACACAGAAATCACAGTAGTGATTTATTATTTTTTTATAATAAGGCTCCAAACTGCCCATAAATACCTACATCACTTTCACAATTGCAAGGTCCCTGCTGTGGGACTTTCAAATATGTTAACATTTCTGTGGTTTGAGTAATCAATTACTGTTTGCTTTACAATTTTAAATTATCTTGTGAAATATAGTAATGTTTCTAGCATAGTGAAGTTTGAGCAATAATTATCACTTCTCTTTCTGTTCCTTGCTGTTTTGGGGTGACAAGGGCTTATACAAGAAAAGAGTATAATCGACTTGGCTTGCAGGGCAAGGGGTTCCCTAGAAGATATTTCTGTGCTAATGACTTTTGTTGTTGTTGTTCGATGCCATTGTGTCAGCTTCAACTCATTCTAAGTCCAAAAGAATTAAACCCTGCCCCTGGGCTAAAGGGAAAGGACCGGGGGGAGCGGGGGGTGTGGAATAGAAATGGAAGAAGTAAATTAATCTGGCTTTAGAATAACCCCTCAAAAACAAAGGCACTATTGAAAAGTATCTAAAACATAGGGCATCTGCAGAAACATAAATATACACTCTCATACATTCATCTTTTCATACACATACAATACCTGCTGGTACACAACCCTACCACTTAGCGATAACATAAAATGTCTGATGTACAGCTGTGCTATTTGACATTCACGTTTATGGAAACAAATACCTGTAAATATATGTTCTTGTGTAGGGATCCTGCCTGATAGGACAGGATTTGTGGTTTAGAGCTTAGCAAAGATAGATAATCAATTTCAGCCGGGCAAGAGGTTCATCAAATGCCATGATGCTGCACTTGAGTCTATATATATGCAGCAGTAGAAAATGAAGATGTGAACATGCAAGTAGTTGACTACAACCAACTTCCAGAGTGGGTAAGGTAAGCAGCCCTATTCTCATCCCAACACACTACGACTCCCTGCTTTCCAATGAAGCAAAGCATGGCAAGGCCGCGTGCCTGGTAACACCTGCTGAACAGAGTTTGTCTTGTCTGCCGATTTAGAAGGGGAGGACTGTGTGGGAGAAATGGAGGAAAGGTGGAGTTGGTAGTCCAGCAACCATAAAATAGTTGTTACATTTTTTCCCTTGGGCAAAAGTGTTTTGTGTTTTAACCTAACTGATAATGGAAAGTGCGGATGAATTGGCAGTATTAAAATTCCTTAGCACTCAAAAGAACACAGACTTATTTTCCCCATTAACATTCAGCTCATGGATTATTTTAAAAGCTCACACCTTCAAAAGTACATACTTACTAACAAAAAAATTACCTTCTGATTAAAACGTGGCCAGGGAAGAGAATGACTGCAGGCATACACCCTTCATTAAGCTCACCTACTCTGACAATGTTCAAACTTTAGTAACTCAGGCTGAAAAGCTATAAAAAATCTATAAACACTTAAGGCAAATGAAATCCCATCTACTCCAATGTGAACACATTCTACTAGCCTTAGGGTAGTTTACATCTCCTTTAAAAAAAAATAAACCAATTGGTTCCCAAAACTGAAATAAAATGCATTGTTTTCAACTGTTCACTCAAAGCCGAAACATAAATTTTTAAATATCATTCACATTATACCCACCACACCAGTAACTCAAGCTATTAAGAGTTTAAAAGTGCAAAGGCTTTACAAATATCCTGTATTTTATTGTTGTTCTTTGAAGGACTCAATACAAAGTCAGTGTATTAAAATAATAATAAAAAAATCAATATTCAATTTAAAACCAGAACAGTAATTTTAGAATCTGACCTTCTCCTTATTGCAATGGTTGGAAGAGAAGAGTGAAGAGAAAAGAAATTCCTTAATTTAAACCTTTTTGCCCCATGCTGGGAATGCACAGGGCTCAGATGAAAGCAAATTCAACTCCTTCTGGACTGGTCCTGTAGAATAGGGTCTGAAACACACATTATTTGAAAGTGTCAATGAACAGTGGCCTAGTAGGTAAGGTAGTTAGAATCCATCACCTTCCCCATGGGAGACAGATGGGCAATCTCCTTTCGGGTGATTTACAGCCTCTAAAAACCCTCTGAAGAGTTAGCCAAGAGTTGATTCCGACTCAACAGCAAAAAGTTAAGATGCTGAATGAGCAGCTGTCATTTACCATGTTGGTGTCGCTAGCTCCTATCAAGTTGGTCCCAAGTTATGGTGCTCTTTTGTATAACAGAATAAAACAGTGTCTGATTCTGTGCCATCTACATGAGCTTTGATACAGCGGAGTTCAATTAACTGCATGTAACTAATTGGTAGCACAATTAACTTCCATATAGCACACTGGAAGAGAGCACATACAGTGCACTGGTAGCACAATGGTTATTTGGGGGTGGTTCAAATCCACCTAGTGGCTCTGAGTGAGACAGACCTTGAACATAGCCAAGAACTTTGTCAAGTGGGATCATGATGAGCTGGAATCATTTATACAGCACACCACAATTAAGACACACTCATGGTACTTCCAGCAGCATGGTGCAGCAGGCACAACCTCTAGTTTGGAAATTAGGACCTGTATGTAGCCAAAATCTCTCATATACTCCCCATCATCTACCCTACCTGGTGAAGTCTATTTCCTGAGAAAGATCACAAAGAACTTCCAGTTGAAGGGACCTATGGACAAAACCTAAGAACAAGAGCACCATGGATAGACGGCATGTATTTTTTCATAAACGGAAATATGTAAAGTCTATCTTGGTGTCCGGCCACAGCTACTCATTTCCCCTTCCACCTTGCCCAGCACATCTCTGTGGGATGTCAGCTGTTGATTCAAAAGTGGGGTTTACTTTTTTGGGTACAGGTATATCACAAATATCCAAAGCTGATTCAGAGTTTTAAAATGATAATGCAAAACATTGTACCATGTCCAAAACCATAAGCGTGAAGTGTATGTGCACATAGGGAACACTGAGAGAGTGTTCTCCTTTACTATAAAGCAAGGTAACAGATTTCCCTCAATACCCAGCAGAAGTCAGGGTGCATACTTGCTCTAGGTCAACTATGGAGACAGGGGCCTGAAATAGCCCCTGCAGGGTGATGGCAGGACTCAATATGGCCCAGCCCCAGGGCCAGGCAGCGAATACTGAAACCAGAGGCATTTCAGAAACAAATCTCATATAGACCATTCTAGAACAAACCCCCAACTCCCTAGTTCCCCTTCTTTAAATTCTACAGCATGTACACTTCCTTTTCCCATGCAACTAAGTCCTGAAAGTCATTTAAGTGTCAGGGGCTGAAGCAGCCCCTTCACTGGTAGAAACCAGCAGAGGTGAGGAACTGCACAATGACTGGTCAGAAAAGACAGGGACCAGACAGTAGTAGTTGCCACTGTGGTTGGCAATGTTTGGTCTCTCTTGGCAAGACAGGTTGGTATGCAGCCATGTGGGAACTTATTTCCAAGGAACGTAAGACAGCACCAAGCTGTACCAGCCAATCCCAAGGTCACAGTGTGAGTCTCCCCTGGCTGGTATAGAGCAGTAGAGGGGAACTGGGAGGGCAGGGATGCCTGCTGGCTTGCTCTCACTGTTCTCCCTGGTGGACATACTTCTTACAGGAGGACTGACCTATGCAAAGGGCCTGAGGGCATGAATGAAGGGTCAGGTCCCAAACAGCCCTGAAAGACTGAACCCTTTTGGTCAGAGACTCCAGCCAGGTAGGGTGTGTGTCAGGGAAGATAGGATGGTACAGAGTTACAGGCATAAGAGAGGGCTACCTGCTTCAAGTCAGTAGGGAAGTGGGTTTAGAAACGGGGCAGGTATATTATTAAAAAAAAAAGTCATTTAACAGCTGTAAACTGATAGTGCACATTTTTGTTGTGATATTTCTCTGAAGAACCTAAGGCAACAAAGAACACAGATAAAGGAAGGCATTTTCTGAACTGCCTGTGGCTCCAAAAGGGTGCTGTGGAACTGGACATTTGCACACAAACATATGTGGACATGGAGTGTCTGTTTTCCTGGAAGAGTCACGGTGTGCATCCTGGAAATCTCCGGGAGGGTTCGACAGAAGCAGTGTGGACGTGGCCCTGGAGGATGCAGGGACAGTTTGTTGTAAGGCAAAGTTCCCAAGAATGCACCAGCTCCAATTTGGTTTACAGCTACAGAGAAACTCCAAGGAAGAGCTTCTTGAGAAGTCCCATCTATGAAAGTCAGATGTCTGTGGTCATTTTTTTTCTCTTGGGCAGATGTCCCCTGCTTCCCTCCAGATAAAGTGCAGATGGTCAAATGGTACTGGTCTATCATACGCCAGTTTCAGTCAGCAATGAAGAATATTTTTTATAAAAAGACACCCCTCTGGTATACATACATATATATATCTCTCTATATATTCTTCTTTATAAAGCCACAAATATAGAACATTTAAACTGACGTCTCAGATTGTAAGCGAAGGACGAATTTGTGAGACTTGGGGTCTATGAATTCTTCTGAGAGGACGATGAAGGGAATTTTCTTCACATTGACAACGAGGCTGAAGTCCAGGCACTTAAGGACAAAAACGATTCCATCCTTTAACCCGTTAGTCACTGCCTCGTCACTGACAAGTCGCCACTGGGTAGAGAGCCACCGATCCTTGTCATACTGCAAGGTGGGGCCTGCGCTGAGGTAACGTTCCAGGAAGGCCTGCAAGTAGAGGAGAAAGGGAGTTAGGAAGAAGCACCTCATTTTGAGGGGAGCCCTGTGTCTATATCTCCCAGGGCCCTTTCCATTTTTTTTTTTTTTTTGCTAATGACACATGACTTTCAAACAAATGAAGACTTTATATGAGAGCTCAGCTTAAGATCCCAAATTCCCACCAGACCCTAAAGGGGAGTCATTACTATGGAGGGAAGACTTTTTTGTTTCCTTTTTCTTCTTTGCCAATTTCTAAATTGGAGGGTGGTGGTGGGGATGACTATGGAGAAAAGGGAAGGTGGGGTGGCTGGGAACGACATCGGCCCACTCCAAGGGAATGGACTCCCCTCTACCTGCCTTCAAGTCTACCTCCAGAGCAATGCCCCGCAGAGGAGCAGTCAGGTCAACAGGAGCTGAACAAAAACATGAAGATCCTTGTGACCTGAAACACATGCTCGACCATTTCCTGCTTATTTGTCTTTGGACAAAGTTTTTAACCTCTCTGTATACTTTAACTTCCTCAGCAGTAAGTGGAGACAACAAAAGCACCTAAGAACAGGGCTGCTCTGAAAAGGAAATGTGCTAACTGCTAAAGCACACAGAGAGGTCCAGGCTCGGGACACAGCTGGCAACTCCAAGGGCTGAGCAAACACAATGCCAACCTGCCCTCTCAGGAGTTTCCTGGACCAGCACCGCTGAGCTCCTTGAACTTCTGTCTTTCCTAGGCCTCATGTATGCTGCTCCTCCTGTCACTTATTAAATCACTACAAGTCACCTCTTTCCATCTCTCAGCCAGATCCTGTGCTCACCTCCAGGTTCCTGTGATCACTGGGTATTGCTCAAGTGGGAAAGTTCACTTTCCAAGCAGTAACTCCTGATTAGCCTGTCTGTATCTGGCAATAGTTTCTGGCAAATAAACTTTTCATTGAGCACAGGCACTATGCTTTTGTTTTTAACTTGAACTTCCTTGTTTTAACTTGAACTGCCTATAATACGAGCTCAGTAGCAGGCACATTAAATCAGTCAATACATTGATCTAGTGTGGGAAGAGGGAGCGCTTGGGGCTTAGTGGTCAAGAGCTGCACTGCCAACTTAAAGACATGTGGTTTGAATCCACCACGTAGCTGCTCCATGAGGGAAGGACAGGAAATCTCCTTTTATGTCTCTGAAAATCTGCAGGAAGGTCAGTTGTGAGATGGTTCTGATTTGACAGCAATGAGTTGGGTTTTTGTTTTAAGAGTTTTAAATGACATCCCTTTCCATCAATGCCTCACTGCTACTTTCATTCAACTCTTTCTGCTTCATGGAAGAGTTTCTCAGGCAGAAAGGAGACTAACTGTAATATAACACACATCTCTGGTAGCCTAGTGGCAAGAAGCTGTGCTGCTATCCTGAAGGCATGCAGTTCGAATCTACCAGCTGCTCTGTGGAAGGAAAATGAACAATCTCCTTCTGTGTGATTAATCATTTCTGAAAATCCACCGTAGGGCCAGCTATGGGTCAGTTTCGACTTGATGGTTCACAAAATTAAAATAGCTTTTACAAATATGTAAGAAAAAATTCAAACTAGAGAAATAAAAAGTAATTTAATCTTTATAGATGTGAAAGTATAAATTATAATTTTTAAATGAATATATTGTACATAGGGTTGCTATGATGGCAAGGAACAATTGCAGGATTAAAGAAATAGCAATTAAACTAATTTTTAAAAATCTGTATTTTACTCCTACCAAACTGGTAATGACTTTTTAAAAAGAATAAAATTCAATGCTGTCAAAGATATAGGGAAATGAAGTCTCATCCTTCTTCATGAAACATACATTATTTGCCCTCAAACATTTTGCTTACTCTGAACTATACTGTTCCTACTACTCTGCATTGTGCTTTTCAATTCTAAAACTAATTTTAATATTTCAACAGGTGATATACCATAAAACTTTTAAGTCACTGATGCTCTGCTATTCCCAGCTTGGAGTTATACTGATTGTTCTGCAAATAAAATCTTCAAGTATATATTTTATTGTGCTGAATATTTCTTTCAGAATGAGTCCTAAGGGTAAGATTTTGCTGAATCAAAGAATATGAAAATCTTTATGGATTCTTCCTGAATATTCCTAAGAGGCTGTTACTGATGGTCAATGAATCTAGCAGTACACACAGGTATTCCTTTATTCCACCTTGCCGGAATGACGCAATGTATGAGCATATACAGGTATGCACTATTACTTAAATGGTTACATATTTACTATATGCCAATGTTCGGTGTCCAAGTGATTTATGTGCCAAGTTGCCATATTTAATATGACTTACACATTGTCATATAAATGCTATCACTATTTCCACTTTACAAATGAGGAACCAAGTATAGGGTAACTTGTTCAAACTCAAAAACCAACTGAGTGATAGAGCCAAGATCTGAATCCACTTATGAATATAAACTCACTACTGTTGACTTGTTTTGACTTACAGCAACTCACCACAGAATTGCCAAGGCTATATACCACAACAGGAGGTCTTCCATTATTTTCCTGTGGAGCAATTGATGGACTGAGGTTCTGGAGACAAAGCGTTTTAGGTTAGCAAGCACACCACCTAATGAACCAGGGCACTAGAGCTCCTTCCTTTGTATATAAAACAGAGTTTATTTGCTAAACCCTTAATGTATTTTGCCTCCTTAATACATTCCTCTAGATTGTTCCGTAAAACCCATTCTTTAACATTCAAACTAACAAAGTGACAGTCTGTCTCTAGTAATGTTGTTGTTGTTCTGAGTCAGAACCAACTCCTAGTGGACCCTCCAGAGGGTTCTGAGAGACAGAAAGTCACAGAGGAGGAGAAGATTCCCCATTCTTCTCCCATGGAGCAGCTGGTGGGTGTCAACTGCGTGTCTGGGGTTAATAAGTCATTCATAATCATTTATAGAGTCTTTACCAAGAATCAGGAGTTGCTTTAAACAAATCATGTATATTAACCCTTTCAGTCTCTACAAAAACTCAATGAAGCAGGTATTAATATTACCATTTTTATGAAGCTATTTGCTCAAATTTAAAGAGTTGCTGATTACACTGTCAGATTAGAAATTATTACTTTAGCTCCTGAACCAGAGAGTGCCTCAAAGCACTATTTACAGTGTCTGTAAGTAACATTCTTGCCTTTGCTTGAATCTGTTACTGTTAATTAAGTGCCACTGAGTTGAGTATGACTCCAAGACCCTATAAACAAGAGATCTGAACCTTGCTCTATTCTGTACCATCTTTTTGCTCTCCGATATACCTCAGCTCATCATTATAGTCACTGTACCAATCCATTTTGTTGAGGGTCTTTCTCTGACTCTCTACCTTTCCAAGTTTTTCCAAAGTATATGAGACACAGTTTCACCACCCCTGCTTCCAAGAAGCACTCTGGTTGCTCGGATCTAGAGGTCTTCAAAAGGCACAATTAAAAAAAAAATGTACCCAGATAAAAAATGAGAATCACAAATTGCCATTAACTGATGTTTTAGACAAGCCTTTTCTCTCATTCTTGTAAGCTCTCTAGGGTCAATTTATCACGCTCAGTGAGAAGACAGGCTGAGGTGGGCCGTGGCAGCCCGCAGCAGCGCACCTTTGGGGTCATGCTGTTGGTGATGCAGAAGGCCAGGTGCTGCAGGATGCTCTCCATGCTGTGGTAGTGCTGCTGCCGCGTGGTGCGCAGGTACTTCTGCAGGGCCCTGGCCATGGAGGGGAAGATGGCCTGGGCGGCCTCCCTGGGGTCCATCACCTCCCCTGGGGCTTTCTGCTGCTCCTCAGCCTGGAGTCGCTGGATGTGGATGAAGGCCTCTTCCACTGCAACCACAAGCCTGGGAAGGGAAACAGCATCCGGTGATCAGCTTGGTGCCCACCACAGGACTAGAGCAATAAGTCATAAGGGTGTAGATGATGCCTGATCAGCTTGCTACCTCCAGTCTCTCAGGGCCCAATTTTGGGGCTGACTTCCCTTGCTATCATTCCAGACTGTGGAATAGACCATAGAAACTAAGTTTCATGGATTAAACTGTGTCCTGTGAAAGATATAGTGATGTCTTAGTTCTTGAATCTGAGGGAAGGAGTTTTCTTATGTTAATGAGGCCACTTCATTAGGTGGGTACCATACTCAATTACTTCTGAATGACTTTTATCAAAAAGGTAAATTTAGGCTTAAAACCACTCTCCCTTCATCACACATACATATGCATAGACAAAGGACCACAGGATCCTTCCAGAAGTCTAGAAATAAAAGAATGCCTAGGGCTAAAAAGTCAGAATGGCACGAGGATATTTTCCTAGCGCTAATAGAAGAGAGTGCACGGGAGCACACAGAGCCTTGTCTATGCTCTGAATTTGGCTGCCTCACCTCTAAAACCATGAAACAATAAATTCCTCTTCTTCAAAGTCACTCATGTGTATTTCTGTCACAGAAAAACTAGGTAACTAAGATGAAAAGTAACAACAGAAATAGCATGTGGAACGGGAGCTGCAGGCTAACAAGAAGGAACCTCTGAGCTGGGGTGACATTCCTCCTACTGACTCGGCTCACCTCACCCCTTTCCTCTATCCATATACCAAAGCGTTCGGGTAAAAAGAGTTCTAGGTTCCTTGAAACTCTGCTTAAAAAGGCTCTCCACCCACTGAGAGGTGGCCAATGGTGCAGAAGCAGCCCGAAAAGAATCAGGGATGAAAAATTATAAAAAATCAGAGCTGTACCGTCTCTTGATCTAGCCACTCCCCACCCCTACCTACCCCTGGGGAAAAAGAAGGGTCGAGACCTAGCATGCCTGGCTAAAGCCAGCCCTGTCCACTGCAACTAATTAATACTGAGACACTGAAAACCACCAAAGGCCGGCGGTACAACCCAGGACCAGCAGCCTCAGCATTACCTGGGGATTTATTAGACCCATGACTCTCCATTAACTCTTATAAGATCAATCCTAGGGCTGAGGCTGGGGACCTGTATTTTAAGAAACCACAAATAGAAACTTGTACACCAACGTTCATAGCAGCGCTATTTACCATCACAAGAACATGGACACAGTCCAGATCTCCAACCACAATTGACTGGATTGAGAAATTAAGGTACATTCACACAATGGAATACTATGCAGCACGCAGGAGCAACGATTTTGTAAATTATTACCCAACTTGGGAGGGACTAAAGAACATTATGCTGAGTGAACTAACTCAGTCCCACAAGGACAAACACTGTATAAAACCAGTATTATAGAATGAATATAAGGATCCAAAGGGGGGTGGGAGGGTGAAAGCAGAGGGATGAGGATGTGTGTGGAGGAATTAATCATGGGGTTGTACAATTTGATGGGTGGAAGGTGAGGGAAATTGGAAGAATCTGTTCTGGAAAATAATGTATTCAAATTTAGTAAATAAACTAGTTTAATAATAAAAAAAAAGAATTTAAAAAAACCCTGGAATTAAAAAAAAAAAGCAGCAGGAGCCACTGTAGATTATACTTCTGTATACTAAAGTTTCAGAATTACTGGAGGAGGACATACTCCAAAAACGCACACAGGCAACATCTGTAAATGGACAATTCACTCTGCCACTGAAATGTAAAAAAAGTGCATGGAGGCGGGGGAGGGGGGCAGACCTGGCTCTCCGCTTTTTGACCCGGCGTTCGTGTTCTGCTTCTTCGTAATACAACTCGTTGTGGCTTGAGTCCCTGCGTCGAGCTGCTGCAGCAATCATGGCTCGAGACTGACCAGTGGCGTTGTTACTGGGGCCTTTGGGGGGATAATGGAAAAAGCACACTTTGAATACCATGGGGCTGAGAAAGGAGCTAAAGGGTGCAGAGCGTGCTGATACCACCCTCCACCCCATGAAACAGACATACAACCCCAGGACCTCCTCCCCAGAAGGTGAGTAGCAGCTGGCTTCACATCACTGCACCCAAGAAGAGGCAAAGGGATCTTCCTAACCCCAATGTGACCCACAGAAATGGATCAAAGGCTGGCTGGGAGGGGAGAGGGGAGAATGAACTGAGCTTGACAATTATAATGTTGGCCGAAAATAACACAAGGTGAACTGAAGATGTTACTTACCATCTATCTGTTACATAAAGTTTCAGTTTGGCCTTAAGGGCAGCTGGAACATCACATTTCAGCAACAAGACAATGAGAGGGAATGAGGGGGTGGGGAAAACAAGGACAGAGAAAAGAATGTCAAGGCTGGTGGAGACACTGATTACACCCAGGGCAACAAGCTGTGCTGGGACGTAAGGGCAGCCACAGGTCTGTCAGAAACACGAGTACCTGAGAACATGCATGAGGCCCAGCTTGGTAATACACACTCTGAACTCCTGGTCTCCCTGCACAGTCATCACCTACATGCTCCAGAAAGACCACGGTGATCCCCTGAGAGCTTATGTTCTGCCTACTTAGTGACTAGGTTTTCCTGGTGGGAATTTTCACTAAGGTTTCAGATGACAGGTGTGAGATTTACCATTCCTTCGAGTCTGCAAGGAGCACACACCTCAAAGAGCCAGAAACACAACAGAGAGGGGCTCGGCCGCCAAGACCTGACACTGTCTCTAAATCATGCACTTGCTGACAACATGATCCTCGTGGAGGGTTTGCTAAGCCCTCGCCTGGACCCATGGTGCCCAAGGAAGAAATGACACCGTGTCCTGTTTCTTGCACTGAACTATCTGATACCCAGACATCCAGCTCTGACTTCTCTGCCTGACCTCGCTCGGCCTCCTGCCACCCACTTAACTCCAGCCCCTGCCAGGGCTGAGAAACGCCTGCAAGTATCTCACCATTGCCTGAGCTACTGAGATTTCTAGTCATAACTGATTTAGGTGGCTATATGAGTCTTTGGGCAATTTATCCACATTTTGAAAAGCAGCCCTTTCCTAACAGCTCTCAATAAGATGTTCCCAGCAGGAGGCAAGAGACATACTCTACTACTGTTTTCAATCATGAGCTTCCAAATTGAAGAAGCCTCCCACGCATACAGACTGTAAATCAACATGCCTCTGAAAAAGTGTTTGCCGGCAACAATGCACAAATTGTTCTGGAATGGGACCAGCACAGAGACAGTGGAGAAGACAGACGCAGAGAGAGGACAAAGTTTAAGTTAAAAAAATCATCTAGATTGTACACCAGGCCCCACACTTGCCACACAAACGGTTTCCATGCACCTACCATCTACATTGTAGACTTTCAGCCCAGCCATGTGCTTGGCAGCTCGGAATTTGGAGGCTGTGAGGAGGTTGGGATTGTAGATGGTGAAGTCTTTGTAGTAATTTTCTAGAACCACCAGTGCCGCTCTCTGGATACTGAGAAAAGAAGGCAAAATTAAGGCAAAGCTTTTCCAGTCAAGAAAACTCAAATTCACATCCCTCAAGTCAGTTCTGACTCACAGGGACCCTCTGTCAGGTTTCCAGGACTTAAAACTGCATAGGAGACTTCGCATCTTTCTCCCACAGAGCAGCCACTGGACTTGAACTGGTGCGGATGTGTGTTAAGGAGCATAACTTGTTATGGGCTACCCCTTCAAAGCTTCCCTTTCCATTGATGAAGCTGGTCTAAACTGGAGGGGGGGAAAAATCGGGTTTTTGCATCAGGCAAAGTCACAAAGCACCCAGGATAATGTCACAGAGAAGGTTACTGGGTCTCTTCACACCTTTATCTCCAGCATGAAAAAACCAACTTCTTCTCAGGCGATGTCATGAGGCACATATCAAAAACTTACAGCTTTGCTAGTATTTGCAGAAGTTACATGAACTTTCTATCCTAGTTCTAAGCTTACCAGAGAAGAAACAGAGGCTACAAATAGGTCAAGAGACCTCATGATGGTCAGAGAGCTAATAAGAGAAAGGATAACCTGGCGATCCCAGTTTCTTAGGCCCCGGATCAGGGTTTTTCTCCCCTATATCTCACTATACCTTGACATAAGGAATTGCAAGTTTAAAATTTTTCTATTGATTAGAACAAATATAATTAATCAGGGCAGAGTCCACTTAAAATAAGCAGGACACAGACATTAAAAACTAAACCAAATCTGTTGGCATGGCAACCCCATGTGTTAAGAAAAGAACTGAGCCAGATCTTGACTATGATCTTTATAGAAGCCAATCACCAGGTCTTTCTTCCGCAGTGCTGCTGGGTAGATATGAATTGTGCATCTTTGGTTAATAGCTAAGAATGAACCATTGCACCATCCAGGAACTTTAAGCCAACATCAGACTTTAGAATTAATCCTGACTCCTCTTCTCGGTCCCATTTACTTCCTCCCAGACTAGCCTGAGCTCCCTCTTTCCAGACCACAAGAGCTCCCTGACACCTCATCTGAGACTGCTTTCTCCTTCTTGGTCCACACTCCTGCCTGTTGAACTGCCATCTCTAGGCACTGGTGTAAGGAGGGGACCGGACTGTTCCTGCCTCTATGTCCTATGATCTCTAACCTGTTCCCTGCTCAGACTCTTGGAGAGCAGTTAAGGAAGTGAGAATGTCAGACACATTCTTGTCTTAGTTATTTAGCAAGTTCTGCTCTAACAACACCACAAGTGGATGACTTTAATAAATGAATATAGCTGTTCACAGTGTAGGAGACTACTAAGTTCAAATGCAGGGTGCCTGTTCTAGGTGTTCCATCTGCCAACTCCAGAGGTAGGTCCTTGTCTTTCTGAGCTTCTGGTCCTAACCACTCTTCATCACCTGGCATCCCTTTGCTCTGAGAGGCCCTATACAAATCCTACTTCATTAACCTAACAACTCATTCCCAAATGGGATCATAAGAACAGACACAGAGGTTATGACTTAAAAGATACTTTTAGAGAGGACATAAATCAAGCCATAACAACTCTGAAGGCGCAAAAAAGAGATTAGGTTTGTAAACAGACACGTCAAGCTCAATGTACACTGACGCTGCCTTTCCACACCTGCAGGCTCCCTGCACTCTCCTCAGGCTCAGGGGTTTCTTGATGCAGACACTACTCGATCCTGAAGTAGGGCAATCACAGATGATCTTTCCCACACCCTACTCCTGGGGAGGCAGGACACAGATGGTCAAGAAACAAGAAACGTCTCCCCTAGAGAACAGAGAGGGAAGCAGGTGAGAGGGAAGCCTGGAGCCAAGATGATAAAAAATTCAGCATTCAACTCCCCCATCACCACACCCTCTTCAGATGGGCATTCCAACTCTGTCCTCAGGTCCCCCATCCCCAGCTGGCTGCCTTCAGGGCAAATGTGCTTTGAAATGGAATCTTGGGAAGCCCCTAGCTTGGAATGATCTAGCTGGGGTTGCAAGAACAAGGCTGATAAGGCAGTGAGACCTCATGAGGAAGGTGGTCAGGGCTCAGAAATGAGTCTAAGAACAAAAGAACATACTCTTCATCTTCAATGCGGGATACCTGCCACTTCAAAAAGTGACCTGCAAAGACAACAAAGGTGTGTACATACATTGTCCCCTTTGACCATCTGAGGTAGACATGACCAGTGTTTCCACTTTACATGCAGGAAACAAAGGCTGAGAAACCTATGAACTACCCAACAGATCACGTCTAACAAACAGTCGGCTTGGAACACTAATCTGGGTTCAGAGACCTCCCACGCATGCACCTTCCCCTCGGGCATGCGGCCTCTGAGTGGCTTCCATCTTTGCGCCGAGTTGGCCAGGAACCATCACTGCAGTGAGTACCACACATTTCTTTGCAATCTCATCTTCCTCTTTCTAATTTCTGGTTATGCAGATGAATTTACAAAGCTCATTTGTGAAGGAGACTTATATAACCGCCTGAGCACCAAGATGGTGCTGCCTTTGATTCCTGGGTGGCCATACTGCTGTCCACGGATCTCGGAGTGATATGGGGAGCTTCATCCCACATAAAACCAGTGCAGCACCTTGATTTTCAGCTAGAGACACACTACAGCCTCACCTCCCTCTACCCTTGAGGGCTTGCCCCTTGAGATTTTACCATGGAGTCTAAACATCATCACTGACCTCATTGGAGTCCTTCCTCAAGCGTATTCCCAAGAGTGTCTCAATCACAGTGTGCATGTAGCTGGTGTTTAGTGACAACCTAGACAGGTGCACTCATATGGGGCTGTCAGGATGAGCACTGTCAGGAGAAACTCAACCCTGTATAATGAAACATGAGATTCCTAACAGCAAATTCAGATTTTCAAAGTCCTAGGTGGTCTGTAGTACAAATAGGCAGCATCATGATGGATGGAGAGGAGACAAACTTTCAACAGCTTCACGTTGCTTAGATCCACAATTAACACCCTCAGTACTAGCAGTTAGGAAATAAGGAGACACCCTGCACTGGAAATTCTGCAGATAGGGACCTCTCCAAATTACTGAGGAATAGTGATGTCAGTTTGAAGACTAAGGTGCATCTGATTTAGGCCATGATCTTTCCAATTACTTGCTACGCATCTGAGAGCTGAATAAAGAATGAATGAGGATGACAGAAGAGAACTGATGCCTCTGAGCAGTGGTGAACATCCCAATGGACAGCCAAGAGAACAAAGATAAATCTTAGAGAGGGTAGCCAGAGTGCTCTTTGGAGGCAAAAATGCTGAGGCTTCGCCTCACATAATTGAGGCATGTTGCTAGGAGGGGCTATTCCCTGGAGAAGAATATGATGCTGGGAAGGGTAGAGGGTCAGAGAAGGAAAAGACCCTCAACTAGGTGAACTGACATGGTGACTGCTGCAATGGGCTCTTGTGTGCTAGGACGTGTAAGGACGGTACAGCATAGAACAGGGTTCAGATCTTTTGTTCATAGGGTTGCTATGAGTCATACTCAACTCAATGGTACTTAACAACAGGTGGTCTGTTGTTATGTACTGTGGAGCTGGAACTGACCCATAGCTGATCTTCCAGCGGGTTTTCAGAGACAGTAAACTGCACAGGCAGAGACTGCTATGTTCCTTGGAGGGGCTGGATCTAAGCTTTTGGGTTGGCAGTACAACTTTGTACCACTAAGCTGTACAACGGCTTCCTTAGGTGTCCTAGTGATAAGGCACTGCACTGCCCACAGGCATGAGTTCAAATCTGTCAGCTGCTCTATGGAAGAAAGATGGGAATTCTTTCAAGCCATTAATTGCATTGCTTCTGAATAAACCTGCTGGAGGGTCAGCTATGAGTCGGTTCCGACTCAATGGCACACAAGTCATTCACTTACTCATTCATCACTGTCATATTCAAGATCTTATGTCTGCCAAGTACTGAGCACACAGGGACAAGGAGGACAGAGTTTATTGCTGGCCAGTCATAACCTGAAACATAAGCTATGTGACCATGTGCTCTTACACGAGGTAAGTACACTGAGGGGCTCCTAACTGCCCAGGAAGGGGCAGAGGTTGTGGTGTGGAGCAAAAATGGAGCAGGTAAGTTATGAACAAACATCATCCCTGCTAGCTCCGGCAACCCCACCAGGGAGACCCTACCTGTCAGTGTGGTCCCAATCACCCCTTGTCCCTCTCTTCTGTGGGATTCTGAAGCAAGGTGAATCTTCACATCCTCTACCCAGGGATTCTCACCACCCTCTCACTGTTAACACATCATCAACACAATTGCACTATCTCTCATGTACACCCCTCAAGATGTGCTTGATAGTCTCTTGGCTTTTGTGAGCACAGTAGCCCTTCCTCCCAGAAATGAGCTTCAGTTCATTTACCCAAACAAAACAGGGTCCGAACTATGTCATCCTCCCCTTTTTTTTGTCTTATTTGACCCATTGAGGCTTTAGAGGAACCCCGAAATCTGTTGTGCTGAGGACAAATTTAAACCTTGGACTCTCTGCTTGAATTAATTTTCAGACTCCCCAACAATTTAACAGAAATAGCAGAGAATGTTCATCTTGAGCACTGTGCTCTTTAAAGACTCATCTCTAGTCGATCAAACTGACAAGAGCCAGTGAAACAGACTGAGCAGCTTGTGGAACAGTGAGTCTTAAGTCAGTGATGGTGAAATAACGTGGGAAAACAAACATGAAAAATGTAACATTACTGAACTGTACATGCTGAAATTGTTGAATGGGTGTATGATCTCTTGTGTATGTTGTCACCAAAAAGAAAAGATCTTTTCTAAAAAGGAAAAACTACTTCTTCCTACACTTACGTTCTCACTGCCTTCTAGCCACTGCCATCGATTTGATGGCAATTCTGCTCAATTCTGATTTCTAGCAACCTTGTAAGAGCCCTTTAGGACAGAGCAGAGTAGCCACACAGAACTTCCAAGGCTGCGGTCTTTACAGAAGCAGAAGGTCCTGCCTTTTCTCTGCAGAGCGGCAGGTGGGTTGGAAGTGTTTTAACCACTATCCCACCAG